TTTTTCTCTTTCTTTTATTTTTTCTTGGCCCTCCTCGAGACCTCTATTTATAGTGCTAGGAGTAGTTATCCATATAAAGATGGTAGTTATTCATATAAGAATATTTTTACCTGAATACCCTTATATGAGTTTTAACTAGTGGACTACTAATAAATTTGTAAACTTTAGTTAATTTATGGAATTTAAGTCCAACCAACTTTACCTTTGAATTTTTTTTTAATTTGAGTCTATGAAATTTAAGTCCATTTTAATTTAAAAAGACTGGTTAATTATGATTGGACTTGTACTATTTGGGTGTTGAAATTTAGGTTTAACTCAAGCCTATTAAATTAAATTTAGACCTGTATTATTTGGGTTTATGAAATTTTGGTCCAACCCAATTTCATGATTTGAGTTCAGATAAAAATATTAATTTGTTAATTAATTAATCATTATTTTTTTTAATGTCTTCAATCACTTCATATAAACTTCAGAGTGAGATCTGCAATTAGACCACCACAACATGAAGAATACACGGCTGGATTCTAGGAGAAAGTTCGAGGAAAGGGTTTGCAATGTTTGACTAATTTAATGATTTTATAGACAAATCTAATAAGCTACAAACCTTAGTTAGCTGCTTAAGTTTGGGATTAAGGTTGTTGGTTATAATGGAACTCCATCTTTGGTTTTCGTTTCCTTGTGTCGTTCAAATAGGAAGTAGCGGAGTCTATAAATCTTACATGATTTAATTTTCATCTCGAAAAGGAAGCATGCTGATGGTGTTAAATAAATATAGTTGCAACTTTATAATTTTTAGTATTGATACAACACCTTGTACATTGACTACCTGGCAAATTACTTAAAACACCTATGATTAGTTTTCTTTGGCAAATGCAAACGAAACTTAACTGTCCCAGAAGTCGGTGCAATAAACAATTACAGATCTTTTGGTCCCCAAAACAGAGACCATGATGAAACCCAGTCCCAAAACTCAAGAAGCAAAACAATGTACATTAGGAAAATCCGAGGGTACTGTGACTGGAAAAATAATATATACTGAATTCGTGTACATGTGCCAGCCAAATACGTTGAGATGTTTAAGTCATTCTCCGTTCTTTATTACAAATAAGAAATGAATTGGAACTTCCCAACTTTTAGGAAAACTTTTGGATCAAGTTGGAAATGGCCTGTTACATGTTCTTATTCCCACATGAAAATTCTGGTTACATTAGTCAAAGAATATGGTCAAAAAAATATTCTCTCAGAAAAACTTTTATAGGTTTGGATCAAATTACAGCTATTTTAACAAACCAAGAACAAAAACAACCGAATTCAGAACCACCAGAGATCCAGCAGAACAAAAGCCAAATTCATGTCAGGAATCAGATTGTTTAACAATCAGGTGATACAATTTGAAAGCAAAAACCGGGGTAAAACAATGACTTTTATGATTGTAAACATAGTTTTCAAAACTGTACATCATGTATCTCGAACAGATTATTGGTAGGTGGCACAAGAAGGGCAGGTGTCCACTCAGGTCGATATTTCCAAAGATTGTGTTTACAGGAAGAAAAAAAGAAAATGAGAAACATAGGAAATGTAATAGAGTTAACACATACATTGAACTAAGACTATCCTACAGTACCTTCCATCTGATGGCAGTGCATTCCTTTGATGATGAGGCAAGGATTCCCATTATTTGAAAACTTGAACATACCAAACTCCATCGGCATGCTCCCTTTAAATCTGCATGCATGAGAAGCATGCTCAGAAAAGTGGTCGTCATGTGTGATATATATAAAATAGCCATGAAGCGAAGGATACATTTACGCAGGTTAAATAAGGTAGATAATGCTTCTATAATAAACTATGTAACAAGAATGCTCCTATCCTGGGCTTCTTTTTGATGCCAGACACACCAACAAATGAAAGGGCAACACTGCATTAATAGATATCCATTTATTTTAGGGGTACCAATGTTGCTATNCATAATGAGAGCCGGACTTGGCTCAAGCATATTATAAAGGAATATTCCTATAAAAAATTTCAAATCTGATCAATCGAACATAAGGAACACAAACAAAACCATATAAATTAACCTCTGAACCTTAGAAAACAGAATTTTGTACTACAAGTTCTGAGGTTCATGGCTAATTCCTGGAAAAATTTTAGTGAATTTCTTTCTTTAACTCCTGGCCAAGGACTGATGCCCCTAAGGTCTTTACAGCTAAATAATAGGTAGAAATACTCGATGTAACAAATGTTGATTTCTTGTACCTTTTGGCCACCAAAAAAGTGAGGGATGGAGGATGATTAGTGAGAAAGGATAAGGAAAATGCAAAGCACAGAGGTAGTAAAATGGAGGATTGAACGTGGTTTGTAATTATAAATATAAAAAATATATGATAGTACAATGAACCAGTAAATACCTGCAACTAAATTATCACAAATTCCCAACTCTTGAATAGTTAGCCCAGGAAAATATGGTCTTTAATCTGCAGCAATGACTCCTAATCTTTGTCAATCAATGTCACTGCTAGCTTTACACAAACTGACTTGAGCTTAATTCATGATTCTCAGACGTGGAAATAAGCTGGAAAATTTGGAGATTGACAACACATATCTCAACCTCAATTTTCAAATCTCAAATCTTAATACCTTAGAGAGAATTTAAGTTGCTTATGTAATTACATATTACCCATTTCAACGAGTTTCTGCAAATTTCAAATATTTATACATCACGTTTTCTTTTTCTTTTTTCTTTTTTTTTTTTGTGTGTTTCTTGGCGTTGGTAAATCTTTATTGCATACTTTTTGTATAAAGAAATGGACAAATTACGTTCTAACAAAGACCAAGATGTTGAGTGGAAGCTGACCATTCTCAATCAAATAAATGGAAAAAGGCCAACCTGCAAAGTTTTATTGGGCAAATGATCTGTTCCACAAGAAAGTGTCTGTTGGTAAAGATTCAAGACTCATCTCAACCAATCCCTCTAACCTCCTCTCAGGCACTGCAATCGGTGGAGGAAGCACTTTTTCCAATTCAATCACCAATTTGTTTCGCATTTCAGCAATAGCACCATCATCCAATCCTCTTATATTCTCTTTCAGTAACACACGAGCCAAGTGATGTATCTTTTCCTGACTCACACCCAATTCAGAAAAGTCTTTTCGCAGAGCCATCACAGCCGAAATGTAATCATCGCGACTCATACACTCACGAATGCATTGGCAAAGAATGAGAGACAGAGCTTTGGCTCTAGTTTCTTCATTCTTGAGATACTCCTTAATTTCAACAAGAATTTCAATGCATCGCTCCCAATTTCCTTCAAGAACTTGTGATCGAAGCCTCTTCAGTTCTGAAGACTCGTAAGATACATTGGACTCGGTTTCCAAAGAAGCCGCAGAAGTATTGTAGTCCAAGGCATAAAGGCCTTGAATGATCAATCTCAACAATTCAACTTTCTTTATTTGGTGTTTTGGACCCAGCATTTCCAATTGCTGATTGTTATCGTTCTCCATGTTTCTCGATGAATATCTTAGGAAATATGGTCAAGAAACCATGAAACACTACAAGACAACGTATTGAACCTCAAGAAACCAGTTGGTCAGGGCTATTTTGAGAGACCCAGATCAGAAAAAAATGTTTAATGCACAACAATTCGATCGACAAAGCAAAGAACGAGAATTCTTGAGGACCCAAGAAATGAAAACGCCAAGAAATTGACACCCACGAGTAGAATAACCACCTGAAGTTGACTCTATCTGATGCGTGTGTGTCAGGGAGGAGAGAGAGAGAGTGAGTGAGTGAATGAGTGAGTGAGGGAGGGACAAGTCTATAGACACCGAGTGGAACGAAAGGCGGTCATTTGAGGGTTGGGTTGATAAGTAGTAACGAGGAACAGGTAGCAATGTGAACATATGACCCAGTTGGAGGTAAATCTTTTGGTGAAATCGAAGCCATTTTCCCGCAAATTGATATTTATATGTGCAAAACAAAAGAATTAGGGAGAATTGGTGAAGAAGTCTAGGTGGATAAATGAAGAAACGAAATTTTACAAACACCAAAGGCAAAAGAAAAAAGGGCTATTGTTTTAAATTGTACCCGTGAGCTGCATATGATAAGCCGACGCCTTCTTATAAAAACACGAGTAATGTTATAGGGACTTTATATGAAGATTTTATTTAGAGATTTCATAATAAAGTTTTTAAATAAAATTCAAATAGCATTTTTTCAAAAACACAACAGACTTTACCATAATTTTACCAACAGTTACTACGAAGAAACAAAAGGGAACAAGGAAAAGAGAAGAGGATGAAGAGGGTGAAGAATGGACAAATTATTCTAGGTCTTTTTCGCATGACTTCTTCAAATTATTCTAGCTGAACCAGTGTTTGCAACTCAATTAGACGTTCTGGAACACAAATGGCTTACTTGCACAAGGATAAATGAGTCTCTGCATTTTGCGAGTTTGTTTATATGAGCATTGTGCACTTTGCAATTTTGGTTTTTTAAATTTTTTGCGTCATTAAATAGAATTATTTTTTAATGTATGTAGAATGGTGGATTGTGTGATTATTTTGCATGGGTCGATCCTCCCCTATGTATTCGAGCTCGACAAATAATACTTGATTTATTAGGTGGAGGGACAAAGCTGGAGCGGAAGAGAAACAAGAAGAAGAAAAAGAACAAAAACTTTGGCTATGCTTGATTGCTAGTTGGCTGCTTATTGCTGTGATTTGTTGCTACAAGACTGCAGTTGATGAGGATGGTTTAGCTGGGGATGTGAGTGGTATGAAAGGTATTAATTTGGTGTTAATGCTGAGTTTTGAGGGCACTTGTAGTTGACTGTTATGACCTCAGTTTGTTCTAACTTTTGTAATATTGAATCGTTTCCAATGTAATGTAATTCAGAAGACTTAAGTTGTTATGAATTATATTTTACGTTAATTGTTATCATTCCATTACATATATGTAACCACTGTAAATGCAAAGCTAAAGCAAAATTAACCATGTACAAATACTTGTTCAAAAAACTGGTGATAGCAACATTCATCCATGTGCAAAATCTGCATTGTCGAAAAACAGGTGCACTAACCATGTACAAAAGCAAGTGCAATTCAGGTGCACTAACCATGTCCAAAAATAGGTGAAACACAAGTGCAGTAACCATAAACAAAAACAAGTACAACACAGGTGCACTAACCATGTCAAATACTAGTTCAAAACAGGTGTAGTCACCATATACTACACAAGCGTAAATCTTAAAGCTAGTCATTTTGTCCCAATTGCCACTCCTCCCTCCTTTTTTGTTTAATGTTCTCTTCTTCTTTGGTTGAAATGATGAAGCTTTGCTTGAACTACTGCTAGAGTTTGTTCTGGTATTGCTATTGGAGTTATGAACAGATTGAAATGATGCTGGTGGAGCTAACTTGGTCTACTGAGGTAGTACTGGTCTGGGAGGTATGAACAGCTTAAATGAAGCTCTATACGTTGATTGTGTAGCTGGAGCTGGTGGTCTAAATCCACTGTGTGGTGCACTTGGACTTGGTTGAGTTGGGGCCTGAACACACTGTGTGGTGCACTTGAACTTGGCTAAGTTGGTGGCTTGAACCCATTTTGTGGTGCACTTGGTTGAGTTGGTGGCCTGAATCCACTGCATGGTGTATGAGATGTTGATCCCACTTTCCTCTTTCTAATCTGCTCCATAAAGGCTATTGCATAACAATAAATATAAAATCATGATAAAAAAATAAATGAACAACAGGAATTATTTCTTACAGGTAACTTCACTCTTGTTGGAGGAATTCTTGTTGCACTTGGACCTATTTGACTATACCAACTTGTGTTGTACTTGGACCTATGTGACTAACGGATGCTTGTGCTGCACTTGGACCTATGTGACTGATACCAGCTTGAGCTGAACTTGGACCTGTGTGACTGGAACCAGTTTGTGCAGGGATGTTTTGTTGTACCCCATTGTCCTCCTATGTTGTTGGCCTTGTTATATTGCACTTCCCTCTTGTTGTGTCCAATTTGTCCATATTTACCACACTTAATTGATTTGTAATTCCTCTTCCATTTGGCTACTAAAAGGGGTTCATCACGTTCCCTCCTTCTAGCTTTTTTGGAAATACTAGGCATTCTACCTAAATCTGGAGTAATAATAGGTCAATATCTAGTCCTATTCCACATGTCATTTCCATTGCTTGGATTCCTGAGATGGCTATAACACTTAAAAAATGTTTCAACCTTGCACCAGGTAGCCACATTCTCCTCTGGTTCTAAACCCAAGCAGACTTCACTCTAATAGCCTCCAATCTCTTCTGTATGTTAGGACATAAAGAGTCATTATAGTTTTTCAAGTAATCTCTCTATTTTTGTATTTTTTCCATGAACCACACTCTAATTGTTTCAAGCATTGTTATAATAGGTTTGTACCTAGCTTTAACAATATTTCCATTAAAACCCTCACACAAATTGTTTAGCAACATATCAAAATTAGGAAATGTACTAAAGTGGGACGTAGACCAATTGACTATTGGTTTGTCACACAACCACTTACATGCATCTTCATCAACCCTATGTAATTCATCCATAATTTTGTTGACATCATCCAAGTTGGTAGCCCTCCAAAACAAATCCTTTAAGGCTAAACCCTTGTGCTCAGTTTTGAATTTGGTGTACAAATACCTAACATTTGGAAATAGATTTTCAACTACATCTAAAATTCCCTACAACAAACAAGTACGTATAATGATTACAAAGTAGTAATAACTGTAAAAATGACAAAAAATGAAGCCAGTCACGTCTAACCTTTTGTTTCTTCTTAAATGAATTTCTTCTTAGGATTCTTCCGTGCCTTACAATTTTGGCAATCTTTAGCATGATGCCCCAGTTTGTTGTACACAAATCAATTGTCTTTGAACCTTTTAAAATCACTACTTTTGGCACATAATTGGACATTAGGATTTCTCTTTTTGTTGTTGGTTTTGTGTCCCTTTTCCACCACATGTGCCTTGGACTCCATGGAATTGTTATCAACCTTCTTTTCAGAAAATCAACTATCTTTCTTCAATTATCAATCTCACAATCAAATGTTCAAGTTTAATTTATTTGTATTGCACTTCAAATAATTCTTAAAATCCTTCAAATGTGGCAGTAATTTTTCAATGATTGGAGCCACTTGAAAAAACTCAATTAACGCCATCCCTTCAGCATGAATTAATGGAAGATCACTTAAAGATCTTGAATTTGACTATGATATTTTTGGAATCCACCGTTTTTCAGTCAAGATATCTATCCACAATAAATTTCTTCATTCCAGCATCTTCTGTTTTGTAATTCTTATCAAAGGATTCCCAAAGTTCTTTAGCGGTCTTGATTAGATTGTAAACATTGTACAACATGTATCCAATCCATTGAGAGTATAATTCTTGCACATAAAATCAAACTGCTTCATACATCCACCACAACAACCACTTGTCAGTCCGTTTCATTCTCACGAAGAACAGGAGCATCCTCACGAAGAATCTTTCAAGATTCAATATAGTGAGATAGAAAAACATTGTTATGATCATGTTTGTAATAGACTAATTTCGTGAAGTCTTATGTAATCTCAACTGAATTCTATGGTCATCAAGCTTCAAAAATCAAGATATGTAAGCGACAAGAAAGGGAATGAGATCAAACTACAATACCATATCAAGATACGTCCGATGCACCTTCAAGATTAGGAAAAAGGTAATCACCTTAGAAACTTAGATCTCTTGGTTTAATTTTAGACTTCGGTTGCTTCGAGTGAATTCAGAAATGACTCCAAAAGATTTTTACTAAAAATATTTTATAAGCCTTAAATGTGTTTTAAAAACATAGTTTGAGTCATTCATCATATTCTACTTGAGAAACATCTTTTAGTGTTCAAGAGGATAAGTTTTTTGTTTGGTTTTTGGCTTAAAAACCAATAAGGACTTCTCTCTGCTCGCTTGCCTTCGGCTAGAGTGATCTCTGACGATTTAAGGACAAAATCGTGAAGGTTGTTGAGTTGGGCAGTAAAGACTGCCCTTTGGGTTGCTTCCAAGCTGCTCGAGTGGTCTTGAGATGGCTTGAGCAGTCTCTGCCTTGCAAGACTGGATTGATTCATTTTCTCATTCTAGTGGAAACTGTCCTCTCACCATTCTCTCACTACTTGCGCGCTCATTTGCAAATTTTGGTTTACTTGGCCTCCATACTTGATCTAATTCCGAGCCTATAACTAGGACAAACCTTGAAGAACTTGGGTATCCTTTTATAATCCTAAATACAACCACTTAAAAATTTTAGTAATCATTAAAAACCCTAGATCCCCAAGAGACTAAGGTAGTCCATCTTGAATCCTAATTCGACATCTCACATTGAATAAGAGGTTCTTGTTTGGAATCACTAAACTCATTAAAGAAGAATGCATCCTGAGGATCTTGGCGAAGAAGGTCTCTTGAAGAACCTAAAAGATCCATTATAGTGGAGGCATTCAAGTGAAGCTACCCATTATTCTAGTGGGGGAATCGAAGAAGAAGTTTGTTGGAGAAAATGAGCATCTAACCGTGGTATTGGTTAATGTATAAGTTTCGAGTACTTGCAAACTAACTTTAGGCTAGAGGATTAGGTTTTTGCAATCCTCGATGGTTCCCCGCGATTTTTTCTAGTTAGGTTTTCACGTCAACAGTTGCTTATGTTCATATTGCTTACACGCTTGTAATTTTGCACACACTCGCAACAAGTGTTTGATGGTTTGATTGTTAATCATTCAATTCATTAAAAAGGGTTTTCTAATTTTTGCCTTAGTTGAGATTGTTGTGGGAG